GACTTCGATTTGTGGAGACATTCTCCCGAAAGTGTTCAAAGAGCACATCTTCAACAATTTTCAATATTTATTCATTTTCCGCATGAAAAGATATTATACAGATGTTGGCCGATGAAAATCAGCTTTTTTTTATTCTAAAGACAATTGATCTACTGTGTAATGGACCCGTAAGTATACATTTATCGCAGCATAATAATTATCCGATTGACCCTCGTATCGAGATGCTTGTTCATGTTATCGAATTCTATAGTGACGATACAAAGGTCATGACAAAACTTTATAAGAAATATATAAAAGCAAAATATTGAATGATCACTATTATTGCGGCATCCTAGGAATTTGTATTTGAGATTATGACAGCACATGCGCTTCCCATAATCATGATTAAGGCTTTTCAATCGTACATCGAAGTTCCTCAACATACGATAAAAAGTGAATCTAACGGACAAGATGATTTGCCATCATCTAATTCATTAGCATTCGTGCCTTCTGGCGTCGTCTTAGATATTGTAACGGATATCCTTATTCATTTCGTGATAAATTCCGTTACATTAAACCAAATGCTAGAACAAGACGCCCTATATTTATTAGTCACAATGGTAATAAATGACAGAATATCTATATTAGATTGTAAAGAAGATCCATATGTTTGGGAGGACAGGTATTAGTTGTTAAATTATTAAAAGATATCGTCTTTTATGATTGTATTGTAGTAAGCAATATTAACGCATGATTACCTTATGTAGAGCGATGGAAGTTCTTATTGAACTTTTTGCAGTTGCCACGCAAGATATTATAAAATATTTTATAGATAAAAATGTTTTGGGGACTTTAATGAAAATATTAAAAGATGCTTTAGACTTAAAGAGTAATACTTTTATCGGTGGCAAACGGTTAATATATTCAGGTTCATTACTTTTAGAAATAATACAGGCAAGGATTTAATTGACTATGATTTTTTACATAATATTTTTTTGCAATTACCTCGTATTAATAATTAAAATATCCTTTATTGACTTAATTTATTACAAAAGGGAACTCTCCATGTGTCCCCGATTTTTTTAGAGAACTTTTTGAATATGAATGGATATGAAATATTTTTCAATTTGCTTATATTACCTCCATTTGATGGACTATATTCCGAAGCAAAGGTAATTTAGTCCTTAGACAACGTTTAAATTAACACCTTCATTAATAAATATTTTCTTATTTACAATATAGGATGCACTTCTAGAAATGGTTGAGGATTTGGCATTTACTGGAGCGGATGAAATCAAACCTGTTATATCAAACAGAACCCCATATCAACACACCGGTATATTTAATTTCTATAATGTTTTCTGCGATTCAATTTTTCTAGATCCTAATAACTTTTATCGGTTACTATTGAACAAGACTTTCATTTACCTAATGAAATAAAAGATGATGGTATGCTTCCTGACTAGGGATGAGCAAATAACTGAACTGATAAAAATATTGTTAAATGTTATTTAAAAATTGTTATTTGCTTTCCTATTTTACCGCATATAGTATTGGTTTGTTTAATTATTGATTAATTAATATTTAAACACATACGTATTTAGAAACACTTATACGTAACGAAAGAGCATTTCAGATCCTGTCATCCACTTTGCTATACCCCGATTCCAAATATATTCCGTCTTTTTTGTCAGAATTTGTCAATACAATTACCATAAAGGAAGCGGTCCCGGATATTTATCAGCAAAAAATTGTTGTGGCTATTGCAGAAATTTATAAATCAAACGATTTGAACTATTTTTTGACTGAGCATCTAAATACAATTCCAACTTTAATTCAAGAATTAGATAGATTTAGTGCTAAAGTCCAGGTTTGTAAATTGTCTACAATAATATGAAGACTATACCTCTCATTTTATTAACAACACTTTATCAGCGATCTATATTAGATTTGCTTGTTTATGTTATGGTCGATTTAAATTATGTGCCGTTTAGAGAACTAGTCGTGTTGTCTTTACATTTTCAAGGTATACACATTTTACATTATAATAACCAAGCATTTATTTGGAATTAGTTTAAACATTAATAATAAAATTATTTAATTTAAAGGTCATTCTTTAAGGCATACAACTGCTATCGTATGTGAGACAGTTATATCTCTTTTACAGACGTCTTCTAAGTTCAAAGAAGACTTTCGTGAAATTGGATTACTTGATATGCTATGTAACTTACTTCAAGAATTAGCCACTACATTACACGATAGATTTGGTGACACACATTTTGTTAAAAGAATATCAATATCACAGTCCAATGATACATTGAATACTCGTAACAACAATGCATCTAAAACAAAAAGTCGGCTTAGTCCTGAAGTTATTGAGAATTTTCAACTGATTTCTGAGTGCTTAATAGAAATGTTAAAAGGAAACAAGACGAATATTTCATTATTTGGAAATGCGTGAGTATTTCATTGAATTTTAATCTTTTATTAATCAATAGATTTAAACATTTATTTTTTAATAGGTACAAAGGCAATTTGTTCGATTTATTGCATTATGATGAAACTCGGGACGGTGCATTGACTATATTTGAAACATTGGTTGTAGAAGGATATCTTTTATCTAATGCAGAGCCGCATACTCCTTTGACAACTTGCTCGAAAAATTCAACTTCAAGCATTGAACATTCATTTCAATTTGGAAGGCTGATTGAAATCGTTCAATCTCTTCCCAGATTTGATCTTAAAATGAAGCGGCATATCCTCTTATCAATGAATCGCATATTAGTTTCTTGTCCCGAAATGAAGGATGTCTTTCGTGAATCTGGAGGATTTGTTTGCCTTGTAAGCTTATTAGTAGGTCTAGAGGATGTATATAAGCAGTTAATACAAAATTCCGTAGAAAAGGATGTTAAAATTGACGCAACAAATGCTGATTCTCAGATAGATCATACAAATTGCGACACAGACATAATGTCAATGAAGATTCAGGCAATCGATACATTAAAAGCTATATTCGTTGTATTTGCAGAAGCTATGTCTAATCACGATTCTAATCGTCGATTTTTTAGCAATTCCATTGGTTTTAAATCGGTAGAGGATGCCATTTGCCTTACCGAGATGTTTAAATTACCTGGAGCCCCTGAAAATCTTTTTGGAATACTCTTTGGATTTGCAATTGAAAATGAATCAGTGGCTGATGTATTCATTGATAGACAAGATATTTCAAATAACGTTAATCAAGTCAAAATAGAAGAAATGTTTGGAAACTTTACTGATGAAATTCACAATCCAGATATTATTCCCACTATAATGAAGTTGCAACTCTGTGTTAATCGTGATTCACGGTTATTTTTGAAAATTTATGAAGCTCTAGTCGCTCTTTCCTTTGCAAATCGAAGAAATCAAGTCATGTTAAATAAGTCTGGTGTGCTTGAAATTGTTTTACATCGATTATTTCCAGCATCAATTCGATACACTGAAAAAGGAACAATTAATGCTAGTAATCATACTCAAGAAAAGAAACTTTTAACCAAATTAGCTCAAAGATTGATTGAAATGGGTGTTACTACAAAGGAGATCCGTTTCCTATTTGAACAATTCGAAAATGGGAACCAGTGTCCTAAAGCAATTACAGATACCGATGGAACATTCATGACTGCTATGGACATGGTCTTATTTGGCGTTCAAAGAAGCAGATGGCCTCGATTCATACAATTTGATATGTGCCAGTTTGGATATTCTTGTTTAGAGATGAATAGTTTAAGTGATCGTCCGTTTCCACCTACAAGTGGAGGGTATACGTTTATGAGCTGGCTTGATATCGAAAACTTTGATTCAGAAATGAACCTGACCCTTTTAGGGTTAAGTGATGATGAAAAGAAATGCTACTTGCAAATTTATTTCGAAGCACAAACTCATAAACTTGTTGTTCAGACATCTCCAAAACAAACGACTCGATTTGATAATTTCGAATTTAGAACCGGATATTGGTATCATATAGCACTCGTACATCGTCGATCGCGTTTAGGGCAGTCTTCATTAATGTCACTTTATGTAGATGGAAGATTTGTAGATGAACAAAAGTGCCCTTATTTAAATCAATCAGTGACTAATCGACCAATAAAAACATTTATTGGAACACCAAAAGAAATTGCAAAAAAACTAGACAAAGGCAAAACTAAACTCTCATGGGATCTAGGCCCTTGCTATTTTTTTGAAGATGACCTAGATGGTGACATAATTAGTGTTTATTGTCATCTGGGACCTCGGTATTCTTCCAATTTTCAAGATTCTTTAGGTCAATTTCAGACATACCAAACTTCCACGCTGCTTAACATGAGGCTTGAAGCCTTAAGTCGCCAACGCAGTGATTCTGCTATTGAACTGGATAATCTGCCTATAGTTAACGCAATTCGTGGTAATAATAGTCAAACTTTGCCTGAAGAAAAAATTATTTTTGCATTCAATGCAAGTAATGTTCTTGTCTGTGGCCAAAATGCAAGCATATTGGGTGCTGGTCTTTCTGAAGGCACATCACAAGCCCTACTTGGCAACGTTAATACAAAGGTGATATTAAATGCTGCTGTTCCGAAAGTTGAACGTGCCCTGCGAGTGCTACATGGATTAGCTTACTTGCAAGGCGATCCAGTGACTGCTGTTCCTTATGGGATGGATGATTCTATTTGGAAGATAGGAGGCTCTGCTGTGGTTTTGAGGTTAATCGAAAGGGCGGAAGTACGTTCTAAGTCTTTAATCAGCCTATAAAATTTTTTCTCGAACATAATTTTGAATTTTTGAATTTTATTGTTTCATAGACAACGGAGGATTTGTATAAAACTGTTTGTACACTTATCGAGTTAATTCGATTTAATTGGCGAAATTCAGAAGACATGGAAAGAATTCATGGATATGAAATTTTGGCATATTTGCTAAAGCAAAAGCACGGCCTCTTAACTCCGGAGCTTTTAAATTTGTTGCTCGTCTTTGTAGGGTTAAATCCGGTCAATCACATGTGAGTTTCAATATATCCTAATAGTATAAACATAATTTGTGTTCATAACAGTATTGTTTCGTTTTATAGGGATTCAGTCATTATGAATCCTCTCGCTTATCGATTTTTAATACTGGACTTCGATTTGTGGAGACATTCTCCCGAAAGTGTTCAAAGAGCACATCTTCAACAATTTTCAATATTTATTCATTT